GGTACAAACTGGAAACGGACGGAGTTTTATTAATTTTATTACGGTATACTTAAAATTATTTCTAAAATCTACAGATATGTCAATACTTATAATTGTATGCATCTACACCATTTCAAAAAATAATTTCAGGTCCGGTTTTAGGGCCAAAAATCAGAATTATTTTTTTTTCGACCGCACCCTGTATAAATTATTCCATGTAAGTTTTAATAAATAGTATGTAGGATAATAATATGGAAAGAGACTAACATTCAGTAGAACAAATAATAACATTTACAACTTAAGGAAAAACCTATTTAATTTTTTTCTATAGGACTTGTAGTTTTCCGGAAATCGAGATACACCGTTTTTTACCCTTAAAAACTCTTCCACTTCCCGACCTCAGATCGCCCGTAAATTATTTTTCCTTTCATTTTTGTTATATTCTCGTCCTTTTTTAACGGGTTTCATCCTACTATAATTTTTTTCACTTTTTACCATTTTCAAAATTATCGACCCTGGTCTACTGTAATTATTAGATTTTTGGTCTTTGTGAACTTGTCTGTCAAATAACCAATTGTTTAGGCGCGGAAAATTCAAATCGCGCCTCCTAGTTTAAAAACAGACTATAGTTATCTAGATTTAGTACCTAGTTTTAGGGGTTTCTAATTGAAACATTATACTGTAATACTCTTTGCAACAGGGTTGATACTAAAGGTTTTTCTGTGAAATAAAAAGTAAACAAAAAAGCTAGTGATTTTAATAAGCTTTTCAAAAAGCTCATAACCTTCGACTTTACAACTACTACTCGGGGCCTAATATAAAACCCAGATTAAGCCAGAATGAAACTTTCCGACCTAAGATACTTCGAGATACTTCCGACGGCCATTCAAGTTTGGGACAAGTTTTTGCGCTTTTCTCTAGAAAACGTGCGATGCACTTCGTGCTCTTTGCTCCCTGTTTACGATCTACGTGATTCCAGTAGTAGAGAACATTTTTTTTTCTGCTTTTTGGGCGGAAATTAGCAAATCCGATCCGCTTACGTCTGAATCAAGGATACGAGTCACGGCATAGCAGGAGAACTTAATGAAATGTGCGACCTTAATAGTTTTGATAGTTCGTACGAAAATAGAGGTCCATAAATAAGATTATTAAGAGCTGGAGAAACTGATTAAGCTAAAATATTAAAAAAATACTCTTTATAATAAAAGAGGAAAGTAAAAAATATAAATTTGACTCAGTAGTGAAGTATCTTTTTTTTAAATAGAGGAAAATTTGTTTAGAATCATTTTTGCAAATATTACATCGGAGCCATGTAGAATTTAAGAAACAATTTTTATTTCTTCCTTTTTTTTAGAAACGGAAGAAGTGAATGTTTACATGTGAAAGTAGGTACTGGAAATGGTAAACCAAATTGATAATATAGAAGATAGAAGCGATTTAAAAACTGACAACTATATTTTTATTATTTTATAAAATATCATTAGCATAAATATAATTTATTGTCAATTACTCCTAAGTCAATAATTTTAGCAATAATAATTTATATAAGGGGGTGGGTGGCTCAGTGGTTAGAGCCTCTGCCTGTGGATCCAAGGGTCCCAGGTTCGAATCCCACCGTTGGCCAGAATTTTTTCATTTAATTTAATTATTTAAAATTAATTCTGATGCCTTGGTAGGATTCCCCACTCGACCATTCACTGTTGGGTTCTAATTAACAGTGCTGTTCCTAAAGTGGCGCAGGGAAACAGTAACAAAGCCTACACACAACACGAGGCGAAATAACCTTAGCAGTTGAAGCCGATGACACACAAAAAAAAATAATTTATATAACTTAACGTTTAAAGAAAAAATAAAACATAAATATGAGCGATCGTTTCCCTTCGGAAAACAACTACTCCTTTAGCTAATATCGCAATAGGTATTGAATTATATCCAAGGAAAGAGTATATAGATATTGCTACCTGATAGAAGAACTTGAAACCTACATCAATGGTCTGAGGAAACAACTTAATAATAATGAATCAAAATCGCCTAGAGAGAAGAGAGGTGCTGCAATAGGTTGTACAAAATAACCGGAAAAAGCCTATAATAACTAGATAGGAAAGTCATGTGTTGGACACATCAGATTTTTTAATGTATATTGACAAGTTAGTAGAATTTTTAAATTGTTTAATTGTGTATGATATAAATAAAGTTAAAAATAACATAATTTTGTTTGATTTAATTTAATTTATTTAAAAAAACCAAGGATTATAAGTATTGCATTTGGGATTTGTAACAGTATAAAATCAAATATATTTTTTGGTGTAATGGGCCAGGATGTGTCTCTAAAATTAAAATATCCAACAAGAACAAGGTTTTTTTAGTAACACCAAAAATTCATAAATTTCTTCAACCATGCTTGAAATTCTCTTGAATAAATTTGGCTAATTTTTCACTGTGCAAATATAGTTCTCATATTAACAAGCAAAGCAAAGTCACACATCCGAGCTAATTCGTCCGCATATACAGCCAAACCATTTAATTTAATAATTTCTCTACACATGTTCCAATGAATAAACCGAATTCCCGGCCCTCAACCAACGTTTGCTTTGCGCTGATCCAGCGGTCTTTGTTGTTTCGAATTCCGACATTTGCTGGATTAAATTCTTTTGGCAAAATTATATGCAGCGAACTAGATCAGCTATAGAATTTGAACGGTAAACAATAATGGCATTTATGTTTCGGTACGGTGAATAACGAAATCGCGACTTTGCATGCTGCAAACTGGCGATTTTGGCTTTATTCGAAACCGTAAATTGACAACAGTAATTCAGTTGGATAAGAAAGGATAAGCGGAGAAATAAACGAAAGAATACCAAACAAATGATGGATTTCAAACTCAATGAAGAGTTAAGTTATTGAGGAAAAACAGTCAAATGTATTTAAGTCATCATATATATCTGTGTTAAAAATGTGCACAACAAGATGGTTTAAATTATTTATTTTAATACAAGTATTAAAAGATATAACATACAGCATTATTTGGAAAAATCACAAATGTGTCAAATGGTTGCTTTATCAAATGCATTCTGTTTTTAATATGCTTCAAATGATTATTTTACAAGTTATGGACAGTCTCATCAAGTTTTTGTATGAACACTTTTGCTACATTTCAAGTTTGGATAAACTCTCATCCTAATTACCTTTGGGGTAGTAGCAAATGAATATTATGTTCACATACTTTAACACTAAATGAATTACCACTAAAATGTTCACAATTGTCATAAAGTCTGCATAAATTACAAACGACACTTGTATTTTCTGTAATTAATTGACCCCACTTATTTTCTGGAAGTTCGGTGTATAGAGGGTGTACCAATAAAAACTCCCAGGCCAGATATTTTGGTAAGTAATAGATATTTTAATTCTGTAAAAGCCAGTTCATAGAGCGCTAAGAGAGCTTCATTTTAGATATAAATTAATTTTAAATAGGTCAATATGTAGATGGCGCTGCGCTCAATATTTTTTTTCGATGGATCTTTCTTATATAGCACATCTAGTAAAAAATGCATTTTTAAGCAGGTTTTGTTCTATAAACTAATTCAATGATTAATGCTGAAAAACAGGATGAAACTGTTTTAAGTGACCCACTCTGTATATCAAAAACGGCTAGATTTATCAAATTATTTCATAGAACAAAATCTGCCAACGTTCTGATTGGTGACGCCAGACTTGTCAAAAATACTCCAGACAAATAGGGAGGAGGCATCGAGGTCAACAATATTTTAAAAACCAAAAAAACATAAATTTTGTAATAACCCCACTAATTTTGTCTTCAAGTGGCTTAAAACCTCAATATTTTTTACTTTTAGATGTTATTTTTCTCATGTGTCAGCAAACCAACGTGCTGATTGGTGACCCCAGACTTGTCAAAAATACCCCAGACCAATAGGGAAGAGGTACCGAGGTTATTGAGAATTGAGCCAGAATTTAACATGGAAAGTACAGGGAGTGACAGGCCTGTGGTAAAACGGTTTAAGTGCACCTCATTTAAAACAATAAAATGTCACTTGAATCCTTTAGCTTCTAACCCCTTCAATTGTCTAATAGATATATCAAGGGATGTGTCTTTTATTTGCTCTATTTAATAGTGAAGAACATAAAAAATTAATAAAAATTAGTTTGCGTGTAACCCTCCAAAAAAAATTTTGTAGTTCGGTTCAGTGCGGTCTTGCTGCGGCATTATCCACCACAATTTGACCCACCTCTACAATAACTCACGAGCCGCGTCTGCTTTGTGGATTCACTTAAATTCTATGTAGTAAAAGACGAGTAAGTCATTTTAAAAAGAAAACCTTTTATTTAAGTCTTGATACTTAGTTTTCTATTGTAGAGTCCTGGCTAATTTTTAATTAAAGACGGGATTGTATTATGATAACTCCAGATTACATACTTAAGTTTCATTTTTGAATTACCCATAGTGTGTACACATCTGTCATCTTTCTGAAAGAGTTCAATTAGTCCTTCAAATTCCCTTTTTCTCAAATTTGGCTTCTAGCGGATAACAACTGTTTCTAAACTTGAAAAAATGCCTCGATGGAAAGAGATTTTCGTCTAATTCCAAGGTAATCGCTGCTGTAAATAATTATTTCAAGGACTTGGATTCATTGTCCATTGGAATATCGTGCAATATATGTGTTAAGCGAGCAGACTAAATTAGAAAACAATGTTTTTTGTTTGTGGAAACAACCATTCCTAGTTTTCTTTGTTTTAAAACAATTCTTGTAGTTGGTGCAGTTCCAGAATTCAAATATTCATTAAAACTCCTTCATGATGCTCAGATTTCTTAACATTTCAAAGAGTAGCTCATGTATTTCAGGAACAAGTCAATAAAAACTTGATTCCATGGAACAAGCAGGTATTTACAAGTATTAAAATTAATTATTATCATAGACGTAGAAAAAAGAAGCAGATGAAAAAAATATGAACATTTGTTTGTTAAGTTATTGATTGTAAGGAATTAAATAATAATCAAAACATTTAATTTAATTTGTTTTATTATTCAAAATGTCATTAACAATTTAACTTAATACAATAGGTACCTTTTAAAAATATAGCTATGCTTCCAAAATGGTTGATCGTCCGTCTATTTTACATTTAATCTCCTGTCATCATTTCCATAAATTCTGAAAAAGAAAAAACTAATTTAAATTGATAAATTATTCCTTATTTTTTGATATGATAGGTACACATTTTCAATCAAAAAATTTAAAAGGAGAGAGGCTCTCTTTTTATTTATGTCAGTATTACTCTATAGAGTTAAAAGGAAAGTAAAATCATTTAATGCCATTTTGCTGTTATGATTTACTAACGTCACTTTGATTTCATACGTTCCAATTTGTGCATGTATTATTAAGCTTTATCAGGATGGAGTAAATGACAGTTTGATTAATTCAAATGCATTTTGCAGATATCACGGGTATTACAGCTTATACATGAATTGTTTTTTACTGTAAATTAGGACCTGATGGAAATTTTCTATGATGCTGAAGATGCCTGCATGTACTTTTATGGTAAATTACATATCAGTGTGTACTTAAGTACACTGTAGGTAATAAAAGAAAACGCCCTCTTTTTCATTCAAAATTTAAACTTAACCTATCAAAATAAGATGAGGGATATGCAAAAAGGCGATTAAAAAAAACTTGACAGTCTACAATACCAAGCTCTCAGAGTCGTTTCAGGATATCTGAAATCAACTCCTACCAATATATTGCTTTCCGAGTAAGAAGAATGAATTTATCGGTATCATATGTCGGCCAGGCAATGGCCTACAAATAAATCGTAAAAAGAAGTATCCTAGAACTTTTCACCGATTGGGCAAGAGACCCTAGTTTCTGGAGATCTAGAAATACCCCACCAATAATCGAAGCATTCCAAAAATATTCGTTCTTCCTTCCACATACATTATCTCTTGACAAACTGCCTTGCCACTTATTCTCATTCAACTCTCAAATTTCTCACATCAAAATTGTAAATTTGGATCTAAAAAACAATTAAACAGCAATGGACTTTTCTTGGAAAAAGTAAATACTTTATTCAAAAATTATCACATGATATTCACAGATAGCTCAAAAACATCATCCAATGTGGGGTACGGAGTTTACTCCTCCAATCACTTCTCTATCTGTGACTAACTCCCAAATTTCTTCTCAATCTTCTCAGCCGAAGTATATGCAATTTATATGGCCTTGAAAAAAATTGCAGAGCTAAACCTCAGCAATGTCATTATCTTTTTTGATTCACAAAGCGTCGTCATAATGACTATCACACAAAGATCCTAAAAATCAGAGAAATGTACTATCAATTATCCAATCAAAACAGACATACGATTTGCATAGATTCCAAGCCACCAAGGCATTACGGGCAAAGAGAAAGCCTTAGCCAATTTGGGAAGAAGTGTATCAAGAGCCACATTTCCTTCTGGACACTACAAGGATGTCATTAACTCAATCAAAGTACAGAGTTTCGAAGAATGGTGTGACTCATTCGAAAAAAATTGGAAAGTGCAAAGGAGTTATATGTGCCCAATTCACAAAAAGCCTAAAAAGTCTCCTTGGTTGAAAGAATACACCGACACATCTAGAAAAGAAATTTGCATTATATCTCGAATGAGAGCAAACCACTGCTTAACAAGGTCCTACCTAAATACGAGTAGACTGAAGATGATTCCCAATGACTTGTGCGATTGTGGACAAAGTCAGGACTTACAGCATATTTGTTTCTCATGTTCAACGAATCAACACAATATAGACAATCTACATAAATCCATGAAGATTCCAAAAAATATATACGGTTCATTTTCAGTGTTCGATCTAGTGTTCAGACTTTTAAACAAGGAAAATATTAAAATCATTTCCGGATTTCTAATAGCATTCAACATCAAACTGTAGTTTGACTATCAACTGTGAGGTAATAAAAACAGTGTGTAATTCAAAAGTAAAGCCTATCATAGTGTAGGGTTACATTCCAATCCTACCTCATTGCAAATAATCGTCGAGACCACCACCAATCAACCTAAAACCATAGGCCAAATAGCCCTGGCAGCTGAGGCCTGCAAAAATTTAAAAAAAGAAGAAGTAGAATAATATTCAAGCACTTCAAGAATTAAACTTCATCAGAACTGAAATAAAAAGATGTGTGTTTGAAGCTTACAAAAAAATACATATCAAATCTAGGATCTGAATTATCAGCAAATTCCAATACATTTTGGGCATACGTTAATAATAGACAATGCCAAGGTAAAGTTGCAAACACTGAATTTTGGATATAAAACGTTAAATAATTAATAAGAAATATTAGGAAGCTTTATGAAACATTTTAGCCAATCTAATGTCGCTTCCATCGCTTCCATCTCAGCTGCATATGTCTCATTTTTCTGAAAGTCAGGTATAGGATGCTTTAAAAACTAAAAAACCTAAACGTACTAAACGTATTATTGCGTTCATTTTAAAAAAAACTGTTTGGCAGTATTAGCTCGTCATCTAAATATTTTGATAAAGATGTCTTAAAACCAATTCCCTTTATGTGCCTGCCCAATCTTCAAAAAGGCTAAATGAAATGGTATCAAAAACTAGAATGAAGATATATCTTTCGTGTGTTGACAAAGGAGTATAAGTCAAAATTTTGGATAAATTAGTTTCATTTATGTATACTTAGTGTAAAACTTTTTATTAGGGTCGCTATTAAACTTTGACCCCATGATGTAAATTACAAAAATACCTTTTCTTGGTGGGAAAATCAGTATAAGTCGATTTATAAGACATATAACATAGATTTACTTAGCTTCTAAATTTTTGACTTATGCTCCTCTGCCTACCCACGATTCGCATTCTATATTATACTTACTCTTCACAGTTTAACAGATCCTCTTAACCCCCTCCTATTTTCAATAAAAATTCAGAATCAATAGGCTTCATCCCCTTATAAAGCTTGATTTTTCCTGAAGAATTTAATTTGATATCGTTTTTCTACAGTTCTACACTTTCTACAGTTGATGTAGTGATGGATAATGAAATAAAGATACCTCATGATTGACGGTAATTAGTGAATTAAAAATATTACTGATGTCGGAGTAGTGAAGTGTCTAATGACTCGGGGAACCTTGGATGTTAAGAAGTCGGCGAAGTTAGACTGGGATAACACTTGACTGGTTCCTCTTACGAAAGTTCAGAAATTCTATACGCGACCCAAAATTCTGGGCAAAGTAAAGACTAATTTGTCATCGGAATATAGCAAATAATTTCTTGCTCATTTTGGCTGACGGTGGTCGATCATGAGAACATTAAAATAAATCTTTATAGAAAAATTATTAGTGGATTATTTATACCTTAGTTCTCCACAGGTCAACACAGACGGTGATAATAAAAAAACGACGATATTACTTTTCCGAACCATTCGATAAATACTTTAACAATTTGGCACTGGAAAAAGAGCAGCGAAAAAAGATCTAGAATTCTCAGGGAGCCAGCTTTATACTTTACGCTCGGACTAATTCGATTTCCGAGTGGTTCGGAGTGGGAGTAGCCAATATATTTACATATGAGATTACTGAAAAAAACTCCCTTTTGACCTCTGCGAAATTGAGCTGATAATTTACATGAATTTGAGCGTTTAAAGCTGAATTCGAATTTTAGTAAATATTTATATATTTTGAACTACGAGGGCTCTCGCAAATGTTCAAAACCGGGAATTATTAGGAAATAAAAATACCGAGGTTCTTTAGAACGTTATCAGGCTGAAACTAACTTGAACTAATCATTTTTAAAATTAAATTGAAGGAAAATTTTGTTACTTCTTCACAGAACACAATGTGTTCAACTAAATGAATTCAAGCCTAGCCACCTCTGGTATACCGCACAGTTCAAATTTGGGTCCGCTGTTATTTAATATTTTTATCAACAACATTGGTGACACTATCACACTTGATTATTTGCCGTTTGCTGATATTACAAAAATATATGCAGCTATTGAAAATATTTCTGATTGTGAACGGCTGTCGAAAAATCTGAACAGAGTTATTGAATGGTGCAGCAAAAATGGGACGCAAAAATTTATTTTAATTATTTTGATTGGAGGTTGTTAAATAGACTTGTATCATACTTTCTTGTCTCATTTAAATATTTAACATTCGAAACAAATTCCTGTGTTATTTTGTTTTGAGGTTGGAATATTCTTGTTATAATATTCTTTTATTATTTTCATTCGAAATTGTTAAAAAGTCTTTTTTTAAGTTTTGTCATAATTTTTTGTCTCATTTTAAATAATTAACATTCGAAACAAGTTTCATCGGCAACGTGTTTAATGAGTGTCCTGAATAAACTGAGCTGCCCGAAGCAAGAGACGTTTATCTCCGTCTAAGACCTAATTAGGTCGCAACTTGTGCCAAAACTATTTGCTTATCCCACGTCTACGTCTACTTCCATCCCAAGAAGTTGCGACTCATCCGGCACCGGAGAATCGAGACTACGAATTTATTTTCTTTTTTTTGGAAGTGGCTACGCTACCGAACCGTACACTTTAAATGTTATGTCAATAATAAATTCAGTGAAATTTGCCACACTTCAATTATGAAAAATTACGCTGAATAAAAAGGTAACTAATTAAAAATTAGTCCACAGAATTAAACTAAAGAAGTAACTCATGAAAAGTTCAGGAAAAGTTCTCAATTAGGCTCAGTTTTATTTTACACTGACGGATCTAAAAATCTGAAACTGGCAATAATTAACAATTTGGTTATTTTCTAGGTCATATTTTCTTTTTCCTTATGGGTTTTCCGGCTGCTACTCTCCAGAAAACTAAATACATGGATTAGTCTTTCATCAATCACGTACTATGGACCTCTTCCAACGCCTAATATTCTAAAGTTCTGATTTTACTATATCTAGATCCATATATACTGTTGAAGGCTTACTTTTTCACTAATATCACTGTGTGGCAATCAATATTCTAGACGAACCATGTAATACCAACTTCTTCTTTATGTTTTTTATTACCCAAAGGAATGCATTGTATTATTTGAAAAATGTTTATGTTCAAACGTCCGATATTTTCTTTTCTTTACCCTCAATCCAAAAAAATTCTTCCTAGAGAAATCAGAGGGCGATAAAAACCAAAAAATATTTGAAAAGTTTTTAAAAATTCTGCTCTGGGTGGGGCTTAAACCAGCAACATCCGTGCCATCGGTTAATCCATAGAAATATGCACCAGAAAATCTATGAGTGGACAAAAAGATGGGGCACTGCTTTTGTTGACGAAGAAGTCTTCGTCCCATTGAATCACACAAATGTTCAATGGGATTAAGGTCTGGTGATTGCGCAGACCATGGCAAAACATTGATATGCTCAGTTTCTAGAAATTCACGAACGAGCCGTGCTGTGTGTGGACGGGCATTGTCGTGCATTAGCTGGAAATTCGGACCAAATTATGCAGCATATGGAAGCACAACAGGTTCCAGAATACTGTCACGATAACTGGTAGCATTCAAAAAGCCGTCTAATAAAACGAGGTCAGTCCTTCCTCCGACACGCATACCCCCCACACCATTATTGTACCACCCTGGTAGCTGTAGACTTCCTGGGCTGCGGCAAGACGTTCCAGATTTCCAGGTCGTCTCCACACACGAAGTCAACGTGAATCCGGATGAAAACCGAGTCGGGATTCGTCTGTAAAAAGTACCGTAGACCATTCTTGATGTCCTCAGTGTTGATGTTCTTGTGCCCATCGTAGTCTTTGTGCGCGATTACCTCTTGTTAACGGGGAACACGGAGCTGTCTGCGAGCATAAAGGTTGAACTGGTGCAACCTGTTTCTCACAGTCTGGCTGCTCACAGCAATATGGTGTGTGCATTATAACTGATTTGCTCAGGGCCGCCGAGAGCCAGGCCGGGCCCCAGGACAATTCTCTAGATCGGGCCCCGTGACAAAAAAAAGCTCTTCAAACTTTTCCTCTTCTACTTGAATTTCCTCCTCCATTTTATTTGAATTGAATTTTCTAAAAAAACAGCTCCTTCCCCCTCTCGTCTTGTGTCAAATTTCTCATACTTCTCATACAAAACAAAAAAAAAATCCAGTTGACGGGCCCCCCTTATACCGCTGTCGGGCCCCCATTTCAGTCCGGGCCCCGGGAATTAGTCCCGGCTACCCCTCCCTCTAGTCGGCCCTGGATTTGCTAACTGACCTGCTATGACTGTTCGATCTCGTAGTGCCTGTAATCGAATAAAACGATCATGCAGAGGGTCAGTTGCTCTCGTACGACCAGTATGTCGTCCTCTAACAACCTCGGTCTCACGGTATCTTGTCATCAATCGATAAATTACACTAGCTGATGTGTTAAGAACCTCCGCTACTGCTCTATAATTTTGGCCCCCTTCAACCATCCCTACTGCTCGCAATTGTTCGTCGCGGTTTAAATGTCGTCTTTCCATCATGAACAACTAAACTAAACACTAATTCGAATACTAAAAATCTCGTTTTGTCCTTCGTAGAAGCAAAAACCAAAATTGCTGAACCTTCAAAATCATGTACAGTATAAACAAAAAGGTATCAAAAATATCTACAGAAATTTTCAATATAGTACACCAGGTATCTCAAAAAAGTTATAACATTTTTAATCCTTGTTCCCTAGATTTTTTTGATGTTATTTATTTTATAATTTTTCTTTAATAAAGTATTGAAGCAGTATCTCGAACGTACAATTTTTCTTTAGCATAACCTACTAAAGAAAAATGGTAGACTAGACACTTCCACGAGACTCCGATTATCCTGTATTTTCCAGGAACTCTTACCTTCGAAATCGACTGTGCCTGAGGAGTCTGTATCGATTTCTGCGATCATTTCGTTCAACTGATCGGTGGTGAGTTGATCATCGAGTGCCGCCAGGATTTCTCTCAAGCTCGACGTCGGGATGTAGCCGTTACCTGTAATCAGAGATCAAACTACGATAAAGTTAGATAAAAAGTGGAAACGTACGTCTCCAGGCAATAGAATCATTCGTTTTTTTTACCCACATATTGCTCACGGTTTGAAGTTTTTTCATTAGATACTATTAGAGAACGAAGAAGTTTGATAGAAAAAGTTTTTTGTCAGGAAATGAGATGAGTGTCTTTATTTTTTCTTTCAGTGAAAATAATAGGAAAGCAACGAAGTTAAAGTTTGGAAAAAGTCGTCTTTAATTTATATCTAAAACAAAATGTCGAGTATACCGGATGTCTAGTGATGGAAACAAGACAAGAAATGTAACTTCTTGCCTTGATATCAAGAATCTTGATTTTTTCAAGACAAGTAATAGTGTGATCTTGTCAGTTGTGCCTAAATTCTTGGCTGAATAATTTATTATTTAAAAAGTATTTCGACTAATAAACAGGTTTCATTTTCATTATTATTTTTTTCCCTTTTCAATTAAAATGTTCTTATTCTTACACTTCAAATAAACTGCTAAAATTTTATTAAACTGAGATTTTATTTACAAAAAGTTAACTTTTTTAAGAATCAAGACTTCTTGAGTCTTGACAAAATTTCTTAATGCCAAAATCAGACTCTTGTCTTGATTTTTTTCTTGAAATCAAGACAGGAACAAGGCAAGAACTCTTGACTTCTTGACATTTTTCCAACACTACGGATGTCCCAAATTGTTTTACCTAGGCTATAAATTCTATATCATACAAGATAATTAAACTGGGCAAAAACCGCCTAATATAATTAGCTATGGACTTTGAAACTCATGAAGATTTTACAACCCACCCCCAGAAGTCAACCACCTGGAATCCCCCCATCAAAAATAATTAATCACGCCCTAATTGATATAAAATAATAAAAAAGTGACTTTCCCTTTCTTGTACCAAGATTTTCATTTCTTTCAATACTTAAATATATGCTTACCTTCTTTGTCATATAATCTGAATGCCTCTTTCAATTCTCTTTGTACAGTTTCATCATCTTCGTTTTCCAAAAAGTGACCAGCCACTTTGCAGAATTGATCGAAATTGACAGTTCCTGTATCTGAAACAAACACATAGTTGAATTATTTTTAAATACATAAATAAAACACAAAAATCAAAATAGAAAATGATAACTGTTGGAAACTCAAGGATCATCTTTTAAAATATATCAAAAGAAATACTGTTAAACTAGCAAAGCAAACTTTTCTTTTGCAAACGTATGAACTTTTCAAAGATTTTCTGATTACAATCGTTATTTTGTTTTTACAAATATAATAAACACAAAATAATCTCAATATCGGTTTCCCATTTCAAAGAGGTTTCTATTTTTTTCCCTAAATTCGAAAAGCAATAGAATCTAAAGGGAAATATAATATGAAAATCGCTGGCTGGCTCTTCTTTGTATGTAGAATATTTCAATCAAATACTGGTAGGAATTTCATGGAAACCAAAATTAAAACAAGTCTAATTTTCCTCATTCCCCTAAAATTCTCTCTCGGTTTTTATTTAATGGATAAAAATCCATGAAAATACTCCCTGGAGAATTTGGGATATTTCGTTAATAGGGTAACGCGCCAAGTTTATTAAATTAATAAAGCTGGTTGCATATTTTTTATTTAATATACACAATGTTTCAGACAAATTTATGAAATAGCGTCTTTAAAAATACAAAGCTTTTATTATCAAATTAATAAATAATAAATAAATTAAGTACGGCACTGTCCAAATTCTATACAAATTGTTACTATTATAATAGTGGATTTTATTTGTTGCACTAGTGTCACACTCGACACTGTATTCGAACTGTCATACTTGTCAAAAATATATGCTACACTCAAGTATGTGTCAAATATTTGAAGCTACACTGAACAAATCAAATGCTATTAGTGTAGAAAATTTACACCTAGTGCAACAAATAAAATCCACTATATGAGAAACCGCACTCATTCACTTAGACAAAATTGCATCACCCTAAGTTCCCAATAAAAAATGGCTTTATGCTATTCCCAAAGTTGAAAGTATATAGTGAGAATAATAATGGCCCAAGTACCTATTGATACCTGAGGAATTCTACAGGAAATCTGCTTAGTATTTAATAAACCTGCATCAGTAACTTTAACTTTCTTTATTGTATTATTATAGTCAGGTTTTCGTTCTAGATCTATTTGATGTAGATTGATGATTCCTTCATAGATATTGATGTCATAAAAAGCAGCCACCTGTTATGCTCGATTATTCACAAACATTTGATTCTATTAATCATAAAGTTTTATTCTCATAATTACATTTTATTGGTTGCTCTAATAGTCCTCTTACTGTAGATAGTGGAACGTGTGTTTTTTGCTTGCTATTTATAGAGCAAAACCAGTTTGTTATAATTAATGTATATTAATATTTTCTAAAGAAAATTAGGTTTCCAAAAATTTTAAACTGCTTCCTCTAGATTGTACATTACTTATTAGATTGATTTGAATTTATAAGAATTACATTTGTTGAGAAAATCTTTTTTAAGACCAAGCTTAATAATAAGCCAATCACAATTTCAGTTAATACATCATTTTTTTAACTATAAGTTATGATTAAAATGTTTACAACACGAAATACCTGTCTAACTTTTCCGACCACTTGAAATGTCTACAAATCTCGCAGTCACTCCATTTAACCCAAATATATAAAGCCTTGACGTTTATAATAAAGTTCATGTATATAGTTTGGAGTTAAAATTGTTCCCTTTAACATATCTGGAAGTTGAAAGTTGGCCGAACAACTTCATCTAATAAAGTTCCACATTTTCAATCTGAATAATTATATTTTCCTGAATATGGTGGATGTTAACAGGCATTAACTTTCTGAATGTAGACGAAATTCCAGAAATTTTCTTTGATAAAATTGAGAGCACATTTTCGTCTTGATATTTAAACTTGATGGAAGTTTTGAAATTATCGAATTTATTATATTAAGCCACCAATTTAAAATATTACTTTGGGGTAGATATAAATATAAAGTAAATAAATAATGTTTTAACTGGTTTTAGATATGTCTCAGATGAATAAGTAAACTATTTTGATAAGTAACAGTAATCTTTTAGCACAGGGTTTGTTTTGTCGAAACACTTAACAAACCAAAAGATAGGGAGGTTGTTTACATCACAGATCTATTATGGCTTATAATCAAATTGTATATGAGAAGCTATTTCCTTCTAAAGACTATTCCAGTTTCATCTAGTCGTTTATCTATGATTATAAAATAGCTTAGATGAGTTTATCGAACACTAATCTGCATAACGATTTCGAAGCGATGATAAATTCTCAGTTAATTCTTCGTGGAAATTATAATACCACCGCTATGCTGACAGCCATGATCAATTTGGATATCGCCGGATTCCATATAGCTGAACCACACTACAGTTAGTAGTTTTCCAGACATTTCTGACAGTGACTGGCATTGGCCTAAAGGAAACCGCTTTAGCGAAACAATACGTTGAAACGTAAACTAGACGTATCTAACCCTGATTTATTTCACTGGTTTCCTCAACAAACCCCAATAATAGTGTTCGGTATTGAATAGACACAATATTAGAAGTAACTTACATGTATCATTGATTTTAGATTTGGAAAAATAAATTATTCAGGTCAAGTAACGAAGGAATGAAGTTTAGAAACTTGTTTCGCTACAAAGTATTCTTCTTTAAACGATAAATATATCGTTCGGTTGTTAGCATGTACATTTTCCCGCTTTACGAGTTTCCGGATGGCAAAGAAAAGAAAATAATAAACGCAGAAGCGTACACAACTATGCAGGGTTGTAATGAAGTAGGGAACCAAGAAAATATATTTAAAATATACAGATTTCACCTTTACTAAAGCATTAAGTCTATTATTGCAAATTATTGACAAAATCAGTATTGTAAGGTGAAAATTGACCATTTTCCTTTTTAAGCAAATAAAACAAAAGCGAAACAATAGTAATTATGCAAAATCATGGGTTTTATTTCAAATGAATCGTAAGATTACTACACTATGTGATATTCTGTTTTATATAATATTATAATTTGTATAAATAATAATTAAAGTATTGATTAAAGGAACAAAAAGCGGTTAAAACTTGTATTTCCTTCAAAAATTATTTTATTTAAAATGTCAAATCTCTTTCGGCATTATGCCATAGTAGATGAGCAATAGGGCTTCTGGCGCATTATTTCCAAGAGACGCCGCTAGATAGCACCAGCAAGCAGTGTTGGAAATTCCAACTTGGATAATTGGTTTACGACTCCGCTAAGCGATCCAAGATGGCCGCCATCGTTTACGCTTTGGAAGTAATGCGCTAGAAACCCTGTTGCTCATCTACTCGCCATTTTCAGTATTTGTTAATTAAAGGACTCTTCCTTATCGTGTATTCAATATTATTGGTCCTTTGACTGACAATAAACACTGAAGATGGTGTAATGCCGAAAGTGCTTTGAAATTTTAATAAAAGGATTTTTTCACGGAACATCAAGCTTCTTTGCTGATTAAAGTATCGATTCTATGTACATACTTGTATGAGTAAGTTGAATAACATAATTAGTAGTTGGTTTCTTATCACTTAGCTATAATGTAAAAGTCAGATGGACTGAGAGCGTTTAGCTGGCAAGGTTATATAGGTATGTTCAAAGAAATTTAAAGATAAACGTTCTCTTTGATTCCACGCGCTGACAAGTCGTGCAAGCATTAATTCCTAGTTTAAGAATTATTTATATATATATATTTTAACATAGTTTTTGATATTATTCAGGTAAGAGTAGATATTACTCCTGATAAGTCCTGATTGATTTTAATAAAATCTAAATGGAGATTTTTTTCTATGGTAGTTTAGTCAATTGAGTTAGTCGAAACAATGGAGTTAGCCCAGTTAAAAAGAGCTACTAACAAATTTAAGTATCATATTGTATCTAGTACCGTGGCCATTCCCACAAAAGTTCAAAAGGTTTATATACAAAACGATTTTCAAGTCAAGTGTATAATAATTATAATTTTTTAATTAAAAAACCGACTTCAAAATCGTGCAGATGCTCTCAAAAATTTTTGATTTTCTCATAGATCATCAGATCCTGACCAATTGTATATATGAAACTACCCCCAAGGTATCCCCTTTCTAACAAAAAAATAATCATAGAAATCGGACAAATACATAAAAAATGAAGAGTTTAAGGATTTTCTAATGGACCTAATTATTAGATTCTGTGAAAATTTATTACCATTTGTACCAAGTATTTTCGACCCTTCTTCAGTGTACTCTAGTAAAGTGCGATGAATAAAATGCTCTACCTCGTTCAATTTTGGATTCGGAGAAATGTAAATTGCTACCATGACTATGTGTAGGCCATTTCTAAGTTTGCATAAGCACGCACAAATATCTCCAACAAATGAGCGCCTAACATTAACATCGCTAACGTGTGCAATATACTGAAACGACGTTAGGCGATGCACGACTTTCAACGCCGCACCGCTGTGCTGGTCGGAGTGGGGGATGTTAGGTTTATTTTCGTTACGGAATTTCTTAATTCGGTCGCCGCGCTCAAAGCCCGCGATAAAAGCTATGCAAAAACTGTACCTACTTTGGTAAGTTTTGATTAATTTTATATATCTTAAATGCCTTTCAAAAGTAGCACCCGCGTTAACTAGGCCACGAACCACCACTGATCATCCCCGTATTTACATACTTATTCAAATATTCGGAATTTATATTAATCCACTACGTTTTCAAGTACAATCAGGGTTGCCGTACTTGTACGGTATTTTTGACTGATGTACGGTATACGGTCCAAAGTCATTAGCGTACATAAAAGTACGGTAAACGTACGATATTTTGAACAAAATTAGCAAAGATTTTGAGTTGTATAAGAATAATGTCGGTTTTTTTTGTTATCAGTGTCACTTATTAATTCCCTTCAAGACTTTAGAACCACCTATGAATGAGAAGCAGTACTACACAGCGCTGACGACTGTTTCCTACGTAAGACACAAATGATTTTTTCGGAAAAGTACAGAAGCTGTAATTCCGGTTCCCGAAAAAATCCAT